CCCCCCCCCCTCCCGCCCCCCTTTTTGATAACACTGGCCACGCCTCCAGCTTATCCGAGTAGTAAGATTATGTAAAATAAAATTTATCAGGCAGTACGGGAGTCTACTGATCGCAGAAGCAAGAGGATCCACACACACAAAGCTGTGAAATATGTTAAAAATATTGTGCCAACATACTTTAAATTACAAAATTTTGATTAAGTTAGGTGTGACACAAAAAACAAACCAATAGCTACTAGCAAAGCTTAAACAGGAAAATACAATTAAAACCAGTGCATTGCTTAGCGGAACAAAGTGCAGAAAAAAAATATATTCACAATGAACCTGCTACTTACTCTTAATGGGTTCAAAGCTGTTAGGTCTGCCATCCTAACTTTGTATTATGTGATGATCTTGATCAGACAAACAGTACAGGAATTATTAGATAAGGAAACAAGGGAGAAAGTTAGTTAGGGACAAAAGTATACATTGCTATTAGGAGGATTTGAACAGATTGGGACCATGACTCTTTTCTTTTCTAGGTGATAGCCTAAGAAACGCAAGCATCTGATCTAGCAGTAACCATAAACAATAACGAAAAACAATTAACTAAACAGAGATATGTATTGAAGTCCACAGGTCGCTCAGAACGAACATAAACAACAAAGAAAAGGATAACCTGGCGCACTGAATCGAACACAAAGGGTTCAACCCAGCTTCATGGACGTAGACACAAAACAAAATACAGGTGAACGACTTGCCGGAACCATTGGTGAGCGTAACGTTACCATGTGCCACAAAATTTATAACATTTCAATAGAAACAGCCCAACCCCCGTCACCTGCTGCGAAGCAGACGAACAGTCCACAACCCATTTTCTTTCACTTACCAGATAGAGGCAATGAGACGTGTACTGGGTGCGCAGACACCAGCAACGGACTTAATCAGACAGAGTTCTTGTACACGTCGAACAGTCTGAACACATCACCTATCCCCAAGATTTCCCCCCCGCACCTAATTTGACGTTTGGACCATTTGGCCTTGATTGGTTTTGTAACAGCCACCGCCTTGGTGACGGCCTGGTTCTCTCGACACGCTGTTGATTTGAAGAGAGCGGTGAGTCAGAAAGAAGGGGGAGGAGGGGGAGAAGGAAGGAGAAAGAGTGAGGGAGGGGAGCAGGGTGGATGTATGGTTTGCTGAAAACTTGGTCAAACTTATCTCGATCTTGAACTGAATCAGGCAAAACCTTGGAAGTCTGTGAAAAATTGGATAATTGGTCGCAAGATGAACCGCGCAGTGAAGATGTCGCCCTGAGGTCAGTAGAGCGGTGAGTTTATCTGTTGTGAAAAAGGAAAACAGGGTGCAGACGACGTTTTTTGGAATGATGCCTTTGACACAACATCAGAGACTTTCTTTGTATTGAAATCAAAGAATTCTGACTGAATGTCTTGCTTTTATCACTGTTCTTTTGCGCCTTTGAAATCCCTGTTCTGTTCTGTGCGGGTCATAGTACACTTAACCTCATCTCTTCCTTTTATTGTGTGCTTTTTACATCAGCTAGTTAATTCAATTTTGACAACTTGTCAAGTGCAAGTATTGCACCATAATTAATCCAAGTTTTCTTTGGGTAACAACTATCTACTGTTTGATTCCTGCCATTATATTAATAGTTACATGAATATGCTCCTGACCCTGCTCAACCCATTTTGATGGTTTTTTTTTCCTTCACAGTTTGTGCTTCTCAAGAATTAAAAAAAATAACATGTAAATAATGAGAAATAATTAAGGTTTAAATTAATCCACTTTCTGTGATGTGCTTGGATTGATTATAATTACTGTTTAATGTGTGCCAACAGTTTAAATCAATGTCTTTTAATAGTTTGTGTGCTCACCATGTGAGCTGTAAGCTGTACCGTTTTTTCCCTGTTCAATTCTAATTGAATTATTGCATCATAGACCCCACCCCTCGCCCTTCCTCCTCCCGTTCATGTTCTTATTGACAGTAGTCCATTGTCCTTTAGCTCCGCCGCCCTCCTCCCCGCCCCATCTCGCACGGCTTATCTCGGTTGATCACCTCGACGATCAAATCTTCCTATGACTCAGAAAACTTCTGCCTCTGACACCTGCTTTGCTCTACTCTGCCGCGCAGGCTAGCCCGGCTGGGCCCCTGTACTGTCAGCGCGCGGGACTCGGCGGCCCCAGGATCAGGATGGCGCAGTGGTCCTCGCCATCCACCTCGGTGTGGCTTGGGGGTATCTTCTTCCTGGCGCTGGCCCTGTCGCTGGCCAAGCTGGCCCTGGTGGTGTGGGGCTCCCCTGCCCCCGGCCCCCCGGACCAAGCCCCTACCTCGCCCACCCCGCCCGCACCCGCCCCGGACGACAACAATAACGACACAGCCGACCGCCACTTCGACGTCGACGCCGACCTTAGCGATGCCCTCAAGGAAGCTCCGAACACGGCCCCGGACACAACACCGCACGGGCCTGACGGCCAAAGCCTGGATTCTGAGGATCACGGCCTCGAGCTGGAACACTCCGGCTCGGAGGCGGACCGCTGGCTGGCGGAGAACAACCTCGAGGAGCACCGGGACCTCCTGCAGCGGCTCGGTGAGTGGTCTGGACTGGGCGTCGGGTCGGTCGTTTCCAGAGCAGGTGGGTCTTATCTGATTCTCTTTTCTCTTAGAAAGTAAGTGTGTGTTTTGGAAGAAACGCCAGCAAAAATAAAATACTGTCTTAAGCGCCTCGGTCGCATGCCCCGGGGACAGCCCCGCGCCCCGCCCCCGCCTCCTGCTCGCCATGACGACGCACCTTTCTGCGATAAGCCGACTCGAGGGGATTTGGGGGAGTGGGACGGCCGGGGCGGCCGGGGCGGCGTCGGGGTGGAAAGAGTTCCGTATCGGAGAAGGGAAAGTTTTGGAGGCAAGGAGGGAAAACGTAGTGGAAAAGTAGAGATGCACGAGGGCCTCCCGGGCCGGTCGTGCTCCAGTGCGTGGGTAGTTGTTGACACATGTGCCGCACGACGCTGGCACTGTGAGTGCCATGGCACGCCACGCCAAAGTGCACCTCATCGGGCACTCCTTTAAAAACATAAGTGTGTGTACACCCTCCAAAAAATCCGAAAAATAAGCCAAGAAAAAATAAGAAATAAAAAGAAATCAGAAAAAGTCAGAAAATTCGGTGTGCGCTTGAATTTATAGTGAGGTGCCCCTCGGGGCGCCAGGCGCGCTGCATCTCTGCCCCCGAGAGACTGGGGCCCCAGCAGCAGTGGGCGCCCGGCGCCCCCCGCCGAGTATCGATGCACCGATTCACCTATCTGCCCACTGCTGTGTCCCCGCCATAGTGGTGGCCCCCGCAGTTCGCGGGGTCCCCCAGTGAGGTCGTGCCCGACAGGCCGGCGGGCACACACGGGCGCCCCGGAGCAGGCCTCCTGGCCTTGAGCATTGCGCTGCATCCGGGGCACCACACGAGGGGCACAGTGGGGGGCCGAAGGAGGTCCCCCGCGGGGGATGGGACATGTAGTGCGAACAGCTGACAAGGGGGGAGCGTGTGGGGGGCGCATCCGCAAGGTCGGTGAGAGCACCCGCCCCCGCCTGGCCCCCCGGAGCAACGCTGGAAGCTGGACTATTGATCTGGACTGCGCCTCCTCTTCCCCCGAAGCCCCGGCCTCCCCCCCTCACCTGGAAAAGAAGCGCCTCATCCCTCCGCAAAACGACGTCCTTCTACCCTCTGCTCATCCCACCCTTACCGTCTCCCTTTATCTCCTTCGGACAAATGGTTCGAGAATTCCGCGGGGCGGAGACGACACGACGCGGACGCCGCGGAGGAGGAGAAGAAGGAGGGGGAGGGCTCGCCCAAGTCCGTCTCGAGGACGCTGCTTGCCGCCCCTCCCCCGACCAGTGGGGCCCAGCGAGCGGCCCGTTGGGGGGCAGCAGTCCCCTATGGTCTCCCGGCGCCGGTGTATATCCATCCATTCGCCCTTCCATCCCCCGTAGCCGCCGCCGGCCGCAGCGGTTGACCACTCCGCGGTGTGGTCTGAGGTCGGTCCCACAAGGGGAGGGGGAGGCGGAGCAGTCCCCCGCCTCCGTTCCGCTTCGCCGCACTCCCCGCGACCTGGTTCGCACAGTTATTTACACGCCCCCTCCAGTGGCGCCGCCCCCCCCCCTCCCCCGGTGGGGTGCGAGGTGGGGGGGCACGCAGCGAGGGGTTGGCGGAGGCCGTAGGGGGGCGGACGGACCCCTCAGTCAGTCGGTTGGAGGCGCCGCGCTACCGCGCCGGAGCCGAGCGCTCGGCCCCCTAGGCCGCCCCAGGCCGCCCCCAGGCGCTGCCGTGGACGCCCCTCGGCACCTGCCTCCCTCCAGGACTTCCAGGACCTCCGGGGCCCTGCAGTCGCTATGGTGGCCCCGGCGGGGCTGGGCTCCTGAAGTGCAAGGGGGGCGTGTGGCACCCGCGTGGGCCTCGGGCCTCGGAGTGAGTTGGACACCCTCCCCCCCTTTCCTTCCCCGAGCGAAGCTCAAGTTGACGCGTGTGTGGCGCCCTCCGGGTCTCCCGCACTCGCACTATACTTGTCTCTCTCGGGGAAGCGGATACCCCCGACCACGGTGCTCACGTCTCGTCCAAGCGGGGGAAGGAATGACCTGTCGAGCTTAATTTCAATGACCCTATTGCATCACTTATAGGGTTATTGTCACTGTCGAAGCCTTATTTGACTGGTTCCCGTTCAGTTGAAGGGTTAAACTCATGCGGAGGGAATCTCTGTCCGCACTCCTGCACCTCCCACAGCGCCCGTGTGAGTGAATGACATAGACAATGACCATAACCACGAAGGCATGGGGCAATAAGAATTGTTGCGCAAGGCTAGGGTGGCTTGCGCGCGCGCCGCGGTGGGGTTGGAGCGCGCACCCTTAAGGGGGTACAGGCCGCCTTTGAGACACACGCCAATGTCGGCAACGTGTGCGACTGCAGTGGTGTGTTGACGACTCCCCGCCCTGGCTGGCCGAGCTGGTCCACACGCGGAGTCACGTGGGCCCGCGGGACGAGACTGAGCACACTTGGCCGGGGGCCTAACTCGGCTCTTTTGAGCGTCCCCTCTGCGCCCCGCGAAGCGACTAACGGCGTCCTTCCGTTTGCAGATGAAACCTCCCGCAGCAGCAGCAGCAACTCCAAGCAGGGTCCAAAAAAGTCGCGAACGGCGTCCAACCAAATCCCTCCAATGATCCCTCACGTCCATCCTATGACCAACGAAATAAGCAACACCAAAAGAAACGCCGTCCATTTTTTGTTGTTTATCCACGGCGTGTTTCCCTTCGCCTGAACAAAAAAATAAAAATAATATTAACCGCCGGGATGGTCCTGGCGGCGATGGGGGTCCCCGGCGAGCCTCCTGTAGCTCCCGGAGGACCTTCCGTCGGCGACCTCGGGGCCTCGTCCACCCCGACCTCCATGGTGCTAGACGTGGTGCCGGCCGACCTCGACCTGCACCTGCCGTCCGACCTGTCGAGCGACCTCTCCCCCGACCTGTCGCCCGACGCTCCGTCCTCCGGCCTGGCGGACGAGGGCGTGTACTGCCTCTCCTCCTCATCGTCCATCCTGGCCTCGGACTCCTCCTCAGAGTCGTGCGAGATCCACTCCATCGGCATGTCAGTGCACCCGTCCAGCAGCGCCTCCTCGGGTGGGTACTGCACGAGGTGCTCCGCGAGGTGCGGCATGAGTGCATCGTGAGTGCAACCAGGTCACACACAAGTTGTGTGTGACACAACGCTTTGCAGCTCTGTTTATTTCACAGGGCGGCTTCTTGTTTTCGCAGGTGACATGGATAATGGAAGTTTGTTTTCCAATCGACTTTGCCGATATTTGTTATTATCTTATTGTTCTTTTTTAAAAAAGTATTCCTGTCACATTCGCAGTTGGCCAATCGTCCCACATCCCCCTGCAGCATGGTAAAGGACCCTCCATTCCCTGGATTGTCGGCAGGGGAGAAAAGGGGACGGGGGGATGCGGGATTGCAATCCCTTCGCTGTCGGTCTTGTGTGGGCTGCAGTCCATGGACCATACTCAGCCCCGGGGGATGCTGTTTGTGGTTCACGGGCCAAGAGCCACGAGAAGAGAGAGAGAACGCCTCTGACTTATTGTTATCAGTCATTGGGACACGCTGGTGTCGCTGGTGTGTGGAATGAAGTAGT